TGGGTTGCTTTTCCATCCCTCCCATCCCCACAGGAGTGTGATGGGTGTTCACTGGTCGGACTGGCAGCCTCGAGGGGGGGGATCTTTTGAGTAAAATCCCTCTCCCCGTGCCCCCAAATGGGATTTGGGGAGGAACATTTCCCTCTGGAAAACCCCTCTCCTGCTGTTCCATCCCTCCCATCCCCCTGGGAGCGCGGTGGGCGTTGGGTGGTCGGACTGGCAGCCTCGAGGGGGGGTCTTTTGTGTAAAATCCCTCTCCCCATGCCCCCAAATGGGATTTGGGGAGGAACATTTTCCCTCCGGAAAACCCCTCTCCCGCTTCCCTGTGGGTTGGGTTGCTTTTCCATCCCTCCCATCCCCACAGGAGTGTGATGGGTGTTCACTGGTCGGACTGGCAGCCTCGAGGGGGGGGATCTTTTGAGTAAAATCCCTCTCCCCGTGCCCCCAAATGGGATTTGGGGAGGAACATTTTCCCTCCGGAAAACCCCTCTCCTGCTGTTCCATCCCTCCCATCCCCATGGGAGCGCGGTGGGCGTTGGGTGGTGGGACTGGCAGCCTCGAGGGGGGGTCCTTTGTGTAAAATCCCCCCATTTTCCCCTGTCCCCGTGCCCCCCAGGAGGCCAACACGGAGAAGCTGACTGCGTTCATCAATGCCCTCAACGGGAAGGACGGCAGCGGGTCCCACCTGGTGACGGTGCCCCCCGGGCCCAGCCTGGCCGATGCCCTCATCAGCTCCCCCATCCTGGCGGGAGAGGGGGGGGCCATGCTGGGCCTGGGCGCCAGCGACTTCGAGTTCGGCGTCGACCCCAGCGCCGACCCCGAGCTGGCGCTGGTGAGGGGGCTGGGGGGGGCCAGGGGGGCAGTTTGGGGCTGGGAGGGGCCAGGGGGGCAATTTGGGGTCCTGCACTTGGGTCACACCGAGCCCGGCCTGCAGAGAAAGGGGCTGGGGGGGTCCATGGGGTCAACTTGGGGTGCTGCTCTTTGGCCACACCAAGCCTGACCTGTAGAGAAAGAGGGTCCAGAGGGTCAACTTGGGGCTGGGAGGGTCCAGAGGGTCAACTTGGGGTGGGGATGTTCGGCCGGGCTGAGCCCGGCCCGCGGGGGGGGGGGCTGGGGGGTCCAGGGGGTCAATTGGGGGCGGGGGGGGCCAGGGGGTCAATTTGGGGTCTTGGTCTTCAGCCAGACCGAGCCCAGCTTGCGGAGAGAGGGGCTGGGAGGTCCAGAGGGTCAACTTGGGGTCAGGGGGGTCCAGAGGGTCAATTTGGGGTTGGGGGGTCCAGGGGGTCAATTTGGGGTCGTGCTCTTTGGCCACAGCGAGCCTGACCTGCAGAGAAAGGGGTTGGGGGGTCCAGAGGGTCAATTTGGGGTCAGGGAGGTCCAGAGGGTCAACGTGGGGTTGGGAGGGTCCAGAGGGTCAATTTGGGGTCCTTCTCTTCAGGCCCTGTCTGTGCCAGGCTCTCAGGGTGGATCCATGGGCTGGGAGGGCTTTTCCACCCTCGGGAATTGTGTGGGTGCATCCCAGCTGTGCCCCAGTGCCCTCCCTGTCTGTGCCAGGCTCTCCGGGTGGATCCATGGGCTGGGAAGGTTTTTCCACCCTCAGGGATCGTGTAGCTGTGTCCCAGTGCCCTCCCTGTGTGTGCCAGGCTCTCAGGGTGCATCCATGGGCTGGGAGGGCTTTTCCACCCTCGGGAATTGTGTAGCTGTGCCCCAGTGCCCTCCCTGTCTCTGTGCCAGGCTCTCAGGGTGTCCATGGAGGAGCAGAGGCAGCGGCAGGAGGAGGAGGCCCGAAGAGCTGCGGCCGCCTCGGCCGCCGAGGCCGGGATTGCAGCCACCGCCGGGGATGGTGAGGACTGAGGGGGTTCAGGGGGGCAGGAGGGGGGGTTTGGGTCAGGGATTGGGGATAAATCCTGCCCTGGGAGGGTGGGGAGGCTCTGGAAGGGCTCCGGAGGGGGTCTGTGCCCCCAGAGTCGGGCGATGCCCTGCTCGAGGTGACCCTCACCCGGCAGGAGTTGGGCTGGGCCCTGGCAGTGCCCCCAGTGGGGTCTGTGGGTCCCTGGCAGTGACCCCAGGGTGGTCTGTGGGGGTCTGTGGGGTCTGTGGGCCCCTGTGGGTCCCTGGAAGTGCCCCCTGTGGGGTCCGTGGGGGTCTGTGGGGTCTGTGGGTCCCTGGAAGTGCCCCCTGTGGGGTCTGTGGGTCTCTGTGGGATCTGTGGGTCCCTGTGGAGTCTGTGGGTCCCTGACAATGATCCCAGTGGGTCTGTGGATCCCTGTGGGGTCTGTGGGTCCCTGGAAGTGCCCCCTATGGGGTCTGTGGGTCCCTGTGGAGTCCGTGGGTCCCTGGCAGTGATCCCAGTGGGTCTGTGGGTCTCTAACAATGACCCCAGTGGGTCTGTGGGTCCCCATGGGGTCTGTGGGTCCCTGGCAGTGCCCCAGTGGGTCTGTGGGTCCCCATGGGGTCAGTGTGTCCCTGGCAGTGATCCCAGTGAGCCTGTGGGGTCTGTGGGTCCCTGTGGAGTCTGTAGGTCTCTGTGGGGTCTGTGGGTCTCTGTAGGGTCTATGGACCCCTGTGGGTTCCCGTGGGGTCTGTGGGTCCCTGGCAGTGCCCCCAGTGGGTCTGTAGGTCCCCAGTGGGTCTGTGGGTCCCCATGGGGTTTGTGGGTCCCTGGCAGTGCCCCAGTGGGGTCTGTGGGTCCCCGTGGAGTCTGTGGGGTCTGTGAGTCCCTGACAGTGCCCCCAGTGGGTGTGTGGGTCCCTGTAGGGTCTGTGGGTCTCTGTGGAGTCTGTGGGTCCCTGGCAGTGCCCCATGGGGTCAGTGGATCCCTGGCAGTGCCCACAGCATGTCTGTGCCCGCAGAGTCGGACGATGCCCTGCTCAAGATGACCCTCACCTAGCAGGAGTTGGGCTGGGCCCTGGCAGTGCCCCATGGGGTCAGTGTGTCCCTGGCAGTGCCCACAGCGTGTCTGTGCCCGCAGAGTCGGACGATGCCCTGCTCAAGATGACCATCACCCAGCAGGAGTTCGGCCGGGCGGGGCTGCCCGACCTCAGCTCCATGACGGAGGAGGAGCAGATCGCCTACGCCATGCAGATGTCCCTGCAGGGGGCTGGTGAGGCCATTCCCCAGGGGGAAAAACCCCGGGAGAACCCCCGGGAATGCTGGTGGGGTGGGAATCCTCCCTGAGCTGCTCCTTCTCCCATCCCAGAGTTTGCCCAGGCGGAGGCGGCCGAGGTGGACAGCTCTGCCATGGACACCTCCGAGCCTGCCAAGGTGAGAATGGGGGGATCCCACCCTTATTCCATCCCTATTCCATCCCTATTCCATGGGATCCATCCCTGTTCCATCCCATGGACACCTCGGAGCCTGCCAAGGTGAGCCTGGGGGG